CTTTTTTTTTTATATATATATATTTTTTTTACACGCATACCTTTTTCAAGGGTGTCTACTTCAAAAGTTGAGCTAAAAAGGTGCAAGAAGTGTTTGTGCAGTGAAGCAAAGCTCCCTACTGGCCTGCGACTGTAAGAGAAAACACTGATACTTCAGAAAACATCCCAGGCAAATCTGCCAAAGATACATACTGGTCTGCATTGCTTGTCTTTACAGTATTGTTTCTTTTGATGTAGGTCAGAGGTCATCTTCATAACTAGAAATGGCTTAAAAGGAAATTTTTTTCTTTAAATACAGATATCTGTGATCTGACTTTCAAGAATAAGAGGTTATAGGAGGGAGGAGAGAGGATGCTCAGAATATTCAGTTCTCAACCGCTGTTAATGGCTGACCATGAGCAGAACTTCTTTTTCTTTGTGATTTGGATATAACCCAAGGATGGAGGAAAACAACATCCCCCTCTCCCCCCAAATTAAAAAAAAAAAAAAAAAACACCACACCAAACCCCAGATGCTACATAATTAACAGTCGTACCTTACCAAGTTCACTCAGATTGAACAAACACAGACCCGGAACCAGATGCTCATCCTGACCTCATCTTAAACCTTCATCTGAATCTCATACTAAACCCAAAGATGAGCTAGATTTACCACCTGGCAGTCCCCAACATGACAGCATTATTATGGTAAGGTTTCAAACAAACCCTTGGAATAGCATGTTCTGCATTTAATGTTACACCAGTTTCTCAAAACCATGCCCTTTGCTTCTACAGGCAAAAGCACAACTCTGAACATCATTTTTTAAAATGAAATAAATAAATAATTTCGATAAAGATTTGTTTACATACTTAAAGCAATAGGAAGAAAGACAACTGATAAAAAGGTTATAGTGTCAAAGCTTCCTTGTCACTAACATTACAATTCTGTTTCTTTTCATCTACAGTAGGAATCTCCTGCTGGTCTGATGCAGTCGCAGGACTGCTGGAGGTAAGGTCCATTAGCTGCCCCTCAATCTGAGTCCACGAAGACATTGATTCATGTACTGTAATGGTGTGTTCCTCCATCTGACGCTGAAGGCTGTCCATTTCTTGCCTTTTGAAAGTATTGAGAACAAAAAAGCAAAAATTAACAAGCAGAAAGCTAACTGCTAAATGCAAGATCAGAAAATTACTTTTCTGATTCTTGATACCTACTCCAAGACCATCCAGGCTACAGCTGTATACAAGAGAAAGAAGTCTATAGGAAGCTTAGGAATTGTCTTTCTTTAAAAGCAAAACAAATACAATATGCTTAATGCAAAAATAAGGGCCAACAATGCAGCAGCTCCTTTGCTGCACATACTCATTGACAGGGATGATGCAGCACTGTTTCCTCAGTAAAGGCAATTAGTGACTGCACCCTGATGAATGTGGTACTCTTGCAGGTATAAAAGACAACATGGAAGGTAGAGGTGAGGAAAGCAGCACAGAAAAATAACTAGATAAACACATTATGACTTTAGTCAGACACCAACTTGGCAAAGCAACGTCTGGTAGTACAGGATCACAGAACATTATCACAGGCTCACTCCCCTCAAAAATCAAATGAGGTGATAATAGCAGCTCAGTTCTGCTAATAACTTGAACTCCCTGTCTTCCTAAAGTTGTAGCTTTCCTGCTCAGAATCTCACATGCAACCTTGTAAGGGAAGATCTGAAAACATATTTTTGGCAGAATGAACTTCCTCTGTAGATGTCTTAACAACACACTGCCTGGGGTCCTATCACGACCAGCCTTTCTGGTACTGTGAAGAGAGAAACACCAGCTTTTCCACCAGCAAGAACAACTAGAAATAACTGTTTCTGGTTTGTTCTGCTGTGTACAATTTAGGATGGACATTTTGTCCAGCCTATTGTAAAGACTTTCCCTATTTCATTCATTGACAAGTGAGCAATTACAATGACAGAATATCCTACTGGCCTAAATACAGTCCCAATAAGAGGAAAAGAGTTCATTTTACAAACCCTTTTTTCCTTAGGCTGGCAGCTGGTTTCTTGGAAACATTTTTAAGATTATTTAATATGGGTAAAAATAACATGTCATACTTTAACTGCCGGAGACAGCTGTTCAGATTTTTTAAAGGCTCCTTGCTCACAGCTGCCGATGGCTTCAACAGTTCTTCCAGCAAAGCAGCGGGCACTGGACAATCAGGAATCTTGACTGGAGTCACAGGATTTGAAGAGTTATTCTCTCCTTTCAATTCCTTCCTCTAGTTAAACAAAAAAGAAGAGCCAGAAATACAATTAAGTTATTTCATCAGTGTCATTTTTACCATACAGAAAGAGTCTCACATCACACTACTAGTACATATCTGCATTATAGAGCAGGAATCAGAAGCACATTCATGTTAAGTCTCATGCAAAAGTTCCTAACCTAATGTCATCTGCTAGCCATGCTCACAAGTAAAAAAACAGCATCTAGAAGGACCTACTCAAGAACTCACCCTATTTAAGAAATAAATCAGGAAGGATTTAAAGCAAATGACTTGGATCTTCACAACAACTTTTACTAAATTCTTTCAGTATAGTTAAGGGAACAATTCAGAAAAAAAAATAAATCAGTTAAGTACAATCAAAGAAATCCTTTTGGAAATTCTGGAACCTGCAGGATGAGGTATCAGGACCAATGTCTAAAAGACTGAAATGGAGGCTTCCATATGAAATTCTGTCTCACTGAGTGAGAGAGTTACTTCAGGGAGGGAAAGA